CCTCGCGCACGGCCGTCTCGCCCATGGCCGCCTCGCCTATGGCCGCCTCGCGCACGGCCGTCTCGCCCAGGCCGCCTCGCGCACGGCCGCCTCGCCCATGGCCGCCTCGCCCACCCCCGCCTCGCCCATGGCCGCCTCGCGCACGGCCGCCTCGCCCATGGCCGCCTTGGCCGCCTAGTTCACGGCCTCCTCAAGCCCACTCGTCTTGGAGCGATGAAGTACGCGCCTCCTCCATCACCCGTTCGCAATAGAAGAACTCGTATTCATCCACGTCGTCCTCGTTATCCGCACAGTCGTCAGCAACTCCCTTGGCTTTGATTTTCTCGTCGTCCTCGTCGTCCTCGTCGTCCTCTCTCATGGCGTCATCTGAAATCTTTTCTTTCCCCTTCTCCAGCCATGTCGGCACTTGTCTCTCCACTTTCTCGCTCTCTTCCCCTCTCTCACACTCCTCCTCTCTATTGGCGCGTTGAGTTGCAGGCTCGAGGTGATGTGTGCCTGGCTGACCGTCGAGGCGAGGCCGCTTCTGCTTGCTCTTGTAGTGCTGGTTCTTTTCAGGATTCGCCAGGTACTCCGCCAATCGTCTCTTCTTGTCGTCGACCGTGCCCTTCCCCTTGTAGACTCGCATCAGGTTGTGTCGGCACATGATCTTGTCCAACTCATGCCCAACCATCTTTTCGATCTCCTTGGGTCGTGGCCATGGCAGAGGATCGTCGTGCACATGTGCAGCCAGCTGGCCATGCAGTTGGCAGTGAGTGCGGTGCCATGACAGAGCAGGCAAGCAAGGGATACCGTGGAAGTGGGCAGGATCGTCTTCTGGTGGGCCTGGAGATAGAAGTCCCCTCGTGTCTTCGAGGCACGTAGCTCCTCCTGCCGCACTCGTTCTCGTTTCTTGGCTCGCTCGCGCGCGCGTGCCTTGAATTCCTTCGACCCCTGCCGTTTCTTGTCGGCGACAGCCCGCTGATCCTCTCCGCGCCAGTGATGAGCTTGTAGGTTGTGGACGGGGAGGCCGATTGCCTCCCAGATGGACCGCTGGGCTGTGCCTGGTCCAATGTTGAGTCGATGCACCGAGAGCCAGGCGCGAGGTTCGTAGGTCGAAGGGAAAGTTGTGCTCTTGCCGAGGTCTTTCGTGCGGCTCGAGTTGATGCTCTCGTTGTAGCAGGTGTGCAGGGGATGAACGAACTCGGGTGCACGCGCACAGATGCTGTCGATGATGTCGAAGACCGCTGTGATGCGAGGCACCATGTCGACTGAGGTGCAGGCCAGGTACTTCTTTTGCTTTCTTCGCTCGTGGTGGCGGGAAGAGAAATGTGTGCTGCCGCCAACGGAATAGAAGCGCTTGCACGTGCTGATGAGAGCAAAGAATGTTGGTGGTGCAGTGAAGTCGAGGATGAGCTCAAGAAGTTCGTTGGGAAGCGAGAGGAAGGCATGATCCCTGCTGTCGGTGATGTTGTTGAGGTCGATGGCTGTGTTGGGAGTGTAGCAGGGGCAGCCAACGTCGCAGAGCTCTGCGAAGTAGTGGTGCTTTGCGTGCTGCATTCTGCGCCGAAAGTCATCGAGCATTGCTGCCTCCTGTTCCTCCAGAGTACGCCCACCCTTTCCCACAAATAAGATTAGTGAAGAACAGAGGGGTTGGCAGGTTTGCTGATAGGCATACTTGTTCCAGGGTGAGTACTGCTTGTTTTATGCTGGTCATGATCCAGCAGCCGATGCGATCGGCATAGCCATGCACAGCCTTCGATTGGCCCAGCGCTCGATGGAGATCCTTAGTCACATTATTCTTTGTGTGACCAGGGTCATGGCGGATGCGAATGTGCTGAAGGCGGTGGTCGTTGTTGAGGGTGCACTGCACCGAGGAATCATGGTCGACGACGAACTCCTGGAAGCAAGGTAGAAGTCCCTCCTCCTCGAGCCAATCCACAGCACGCCGGAATCCCTCACCTTCCATTCCCTTCGACGTTCCAAAGTAGTTTCCTTTGCTGATGGTGACCTCCTTCCCATGCATCCAGTGGACTCGCTCCTTCGCAAGCACAATTTGGTGCAGCACTCGCCGGCGAGGGATGTCGATGAGGGTGTAGACCGACTGAGCCGCATTCCGCCGATGGCTCCACCCGTTGTCTCCACTCAGCAAGAGACCTGGTGCTGGTGTGCTGTTCTGGTACTTCTTGATCTCTCAATGGCATTCGGCGCATGCGACCCGCTCCACTTCCTCCAGCACCAGCTTTTCTGCTGCCCGGTAGGCGCTCTTCACCTCGCAGCCCAGCCCTCGAGTATGGTGCACTTGACTGTACTCAGCGTAGGAGCCACCGTTCAGCACGACCGTGGCCACCCCCTCAAGATTGAAGGGGTGGATGAGTGGCCCTCACTTCCCTCCCATTTGAGCTCTTGATCAGCTCCAGCCCTGGATGTTGCTGATCTTGGTCTCGTGGTGGCAGTGTGAGCAGGTGGTGTGTAGCTCAATCACCTCTCCTCTCCTCCTTGCCTCTCAGACCTGCTTCAGCCCTTGACATTCTTGGCGTGTGCAGTGCTGTTGCTCAATCCCTCACACCCAACCTGTTGTGTAGTGTCAACTACACTTGCACACGACTCCGGTATTCCGTTATATCTTTATTAGGTAGTTACCATATATGTGACACGTACACGTTAGATAATAAATCAAAGAGGCTCTTCTGAGCTCTCTTATCTTTCCATCAACTGCGTGATACCTCAACAGGTTATGGGCCCACGCTCAACTGGAAGATGAACCCATTTGAAGCTCAATTGAAACTTCTCAACTCCAAACTGGTACTCAAATCCGCAAGTGGTTATGCGACGTGGCGCAATGATTTGTCTGTGACTCTACAGTCTTGAGGACTGTTTGAGTACGCCTTTGGGTCCATGGAGGAACTGAAGGGGAGGAAGGATGAGAGTGAAGTGAGTTTGGAACTTTGAAAGGACGATTTCAGACAGAAGGTGCAACAGACTGTGGGCTACATCTGCATCTGTCTGGATCGGCCATTCTGAGCCATGATTAAGGGGCTTGAGACCAACCCGTGGAAGATGATGGCTACCCTTGATGTGAATCTTGCGCTGAAGGCTAATGTGAGCAAGTTGACGCTGTTGACACAGCTCATCAACATCAAGCGTGAGACTGGAGAAGCGCTCAACTCCTACTTTGGCTGGATTGTTGACATCAACATGGAACTTGTCAACAACGACTTGGCGCTCCCTGAAGTGTTCATCCTTATGGTGATCCTGAATGGGCTGCTGGTCGAGTACAATACTGTGTGGCCAGTAATTGAGGTGCAGACCAAGATTGACCTGCATGACGTGATGAGTCGACTCTGTGACTGTGAGGTGAACTTGAATGTGTGTTCTGAACAGAATGAGGCTGCCAATGCCATGTGGCGTGACAAGCCTGATCGTGCGCGCGGCAAGCGTGGTGGCGAAGGTCACGGCCCGTCGAAGCAGGACAAGGGTGGCGAGCGCCATGGCCACAGTTGGAAGTCGAGCAAGGGCCCCAAGCAGGGGCCGCAGGAGGGCGACGAGACCACCTGCCACTACTGCCACAAGCCCGGCCACTGGAGGAACAAGTGTCCGAAGCTCAATTGGGGCGACAGTGGCGATGGTGGTGGCGGCGGTGGCGACAGCCACAAAGTGAATGCCACTTGGGCACAGCACAAGAGCGACAAGGACGAGGAAATCGTCCTGTCTGTCGCTGACCAGGTAAACGCTGTGGCCAACGAGACCAACCAGTGGTATCTGGATTTGGGCGCGACCTGCCATGTCACCTGTCGTCGTGAACTGCTCCATGACTACCAGCCCACGCTGTCCTCGCCTTCGCATATGCGACTCTGTGGTTCAAAGCCGCAGCACTGTCAACTTGGTGCTGGGTGACAACTTCAAGTGCTGTGTCAAGGGGACAGGCACCATCCGCGCCACCATTGTCATAGACGGTACAATGAAGACTGTCGTGCTCATGGATGTGTACTATGCCCCTGAGCTGGCGAAAAATCTGGTCTCTATGGCGTGAATCGCCAAGTTGGGTTGCACCATCCTCATCAACACCGCGGGGTGCCGCGTGGTGGACGGGCGTGGACGCGTGGTCCTTCAAGGGACAGCCCGAGGCAATATGCTGGTGCTGCCACTTGACCCGTTACTCCTGGAGCGGGCATACGCCACACGCGTTGACCTCTCACTTGACGTGCTACACCGGCGTTTTGGGCATGCGTGTGAGCGTCGCCTGTGCACAATGCTCAAGGCGAAGGGCATCATGCCTGCCACCAAGTCGCTCTTGCCGTGCGCCATTTGCGTCAAGAACAAGACGATGCGCAAGCCCATTTGTAAGGGGCCAGCAGTGAGGAGCACTACGCCAATGGAGCAGCTCCACACTGACGTGTGCGGGCCGTTTCCCGTCGCCACCAAGACTGGCAAGCGCTACTTCATCTCAATAATCAACAACACCACTCGTTTCGCCATCATCATCGCCATATGTGAGAAGTCCAACATTGAAGCCATGCTGCGCAGCCATCTGGCTGCAACACCTGCGGACCTCAAGTGTCAACGCCTCCGCAGCGATCAGGGCAGCAAGTACACTGGCAAGCGAGTGCAGGAGCTTCTGCGTGCTGCCGGCATCGTCCACAAGGCCACGTCATCACACACTCCTGAACACAATGGCGTCGCCGAACAGTTTAACAGGACCATTGTTGAAATGGTCCAGTGCATGTTGCACGACAGTGGTATTGCCCAGTGCTACTGGGGCGAGGCACTGCACACCACCACCGCCATCTACAATCACTTGCCCACCAACGCCAACGACAGCACGTCGCCACTGGATCGGTGGGACGCTGACCATGCGGGGGCACTCGAAGACATGCACCAGTTCAGGGCCAAGGTGGAGGTGCTGGTACCGCCCGGCGAGCGGACCAAGCTATCTGCGCGCACACGCACCAGAGTTTACCTTGGGCCAGTGGACAGTGGGACCAGCAACCATCAGGTGCTGGTGCAAGGGCACATCCTTGTGACATGCGAGGTCGTCTTCCCCTACGACGCACATGACGTGCTCATGGGCAACAACATGTCCATCACAGTGGCGCCTGCCGTTGTGAACCCACTGGCCAAGGAGGCCAATGTGGGCTCTGCTCCGCAGTGGGCCTCCATCAACCAGTCCACCACACCAGCGCCATCTGTGCTGGGCGCCAGTGGATCTGCCAAGACTTCACCGCCACGCTCACCAAGTCAGGTGGAGCTGTCTGTCATCAAACGGACACCACAGGGCGAGTCGCCCATGCAGGTCGAGCCACTGGACCCCCTCACACCACCTGACATGCCAGTGATGGATGATGACCCTGCTCTCAAGGAGAGCGAGGAGGAGGAGCATGCTGCTCCACCCAGCCTGGAGGCTGACAATGTCATTGTAGTGGTCAAGAAGAAGTGGCCCATGCTGAAGAAGCCACTGGCCCATGAGTGCAAGAAGAACACCAAGTTCTACAATGATGATTTCCATGCATTCGCTGCTGAGGTGTTGCAGGCGCTTGATGTCAGTGACAGCGCATGCACTCCCAACAGCTACGATGAAGCTGTTGCCTTGCCTGAGGCTGCTGAGTGGATCAAGGCCATGAAGGCTGAGTATGGTGCGCTTGACCACAACGGCATGTTTGAACTAGCTCTGCTGCCTGTGGGGCTGCGAGCCATCAGGTTGAGATGGCTATTCAAAATCAAGCACAAGGCCAGTGGTGTCATCAATCATCTCAAGGCAAGATGGGTCAGGAAGGGCTACACTCAGCGACTGGGCATTGACTACAACAAGACATTCTCACTGGTTGTCACAATGGAGCATCTTTGACAGTTGCTCACCCTCACCATGATCCTCAATCTTGAGGTCCACCAGATGGATGTAGAGAACGCCTTCCTCAATGCTACTCTCTCTGTCCACATCTACATTGAGCAGCCGCAAGGATTCCTCAACCTGGAGCGGCCAGACCATGTCTGCCTGCTGTGCAAGAGTCTATATGGACTCCATCAAGCGCTGCTTGAGTGGAACAGGATGATGGACCGCCATCTGTGCAGCCACCACTTCCTTCCCACTCACACCAACCCCTGCATCTATGTGTTGCAGGAGTCAAGTGCCCTCGTCATCATCACTGTCTACATCAACGACTGTGTGATAGTCGCCCCTCTTGAGCACGTTGAGCACACCAAGACGGTGCTGCATGACAGCTTCAGGATGAAGGACCTGGGCCAAGCCAGGTCCATCCTGGGCATGGAGGTCATGTGTGACTGTGAGGAGGGGGCCCTCTACCTGTGTCAGGCTGGCAAGATCATGGAGATTCTCCACAACTTCAGCATGGCCAACGTGAAATCCATCAGCACGCCCATGGACCCTGGCCTCATCCTCCACAAGCTCAATGTCACAGCACCAGGGCACCTCAGAAAACCATACCAGTCGGTAGTGGGGCGGCTGAGCTATCTGTCTCAGGCCATGTGTCTGGATATTGTGTTCACTGTCAATGTGCTGAGCTGTCATGTCAACAGCTACAACCAGTCCCATTGGGGCGCCATCAAGCACATTCTTCAGTACCTGCGCACCACCAAGGACCTTGCAATCAAGTACGCCACCAGTGGGTCTTGTTCCCAGTCTGGCGGCCTGCTACCAGTAGGCTACACAGACACAGACTGGGGCGGGGACGTTGAGACACAGCACTCCATGTCAGGCATTTTTTTCACACTTAGTGGCAGTCCCATTCAATGGGGCGCACACACTCACAAGTGCATAGCCACCTCCACAATGGAGGCAGAGCTGAACACCATCGCCGAGACAACGTTTTTATGTGAAAGTGTGAGTAAGCTGAACATTGAATTCAAATACCTCCCCACGGAGGTCATGCCTGGTGATGTGTTCACCAAGGCGCTGGGGCGCGCATGTGTAGTTGAGCTACGCTCTCTCATCAACCTTGTTGAACTGAAGATTGAGAGCAAGGGGCGTGTTGTGTAGTGTCAACTACACTTGCACATGACTCTGGTATTCTGTTATATCTTTATTAGGTAGTTACCATATATGTGACATGTACACGTTAGATAATAAATCAAAGAGGCTCTTCTGAGCTCTCTTATCTTTCCATCAACTGCATGATACCTCAACACAACCTTCAGTGTCAACAATGGTTCGTGCTGGCAGTTCAGAGAGTACATCTCTTGCTTGTGGTGTGATGGGTGAGGCAGGGTGTGTCGTAGCTGTGTTGAGAAGGTGCTGGAATGAGGACTGATAGAAGCTGTTGAGGTAAAGTGTTGCAATGAGCAGAAGTTGAAGTTGCACAGCCACAGCCAGCACCATGTACATGTGTGTGCCTGCCTCATGCATGGCCGCCTCATGCAGGGCCGCCTCACACAGCTGCCTTGCACAGGGCTGCCTCATGCAGGGCCGCCTTGCGCAGGGCTGCCTTGTGCATGGCCACCTTGTGCAGGGCCGCCTTGAGCATGGCTACCTTGCGCAGGGCCGCCTTGCCCACAGCTGCTTTGTGCAGGGCTGCCTTGCGCATGGCTGCCTTGTGCACAGCTGCCTCGCCCATGGCTGCTTTGTGCAGGGNNNGACTTGCGCATGGCTGCCTTGCCCATGGCTGCCTCGTGCATGGCTGCCTTGCACATGGCCACCTCGCCCACAGCTGCTTTGTGCAGGGCCGCCTTGCCCATGGCCACCTTGCCCATGGCTGCCTTGTGCAGGGCCGCCTCACCCATGGCCACCTCATGCCTTCCCACCTCAGCCTCTGTGTGCATGGCCACATTGCCCACCACCTCAAAAATAGCTACCTCACCTTGAGCTGCCTTGCCAACAGGGACAATCTGATGACCCTGCCACAAGTGGTTCTGCTCAGTCCACGCTCTCCAAACTACTTGGCCACAACTACACAACACTGGATACTTGTGGCCTCTCATCCTCAGCAGTGCAACATACACTTGCATAAATGATTTTAAAATTAATTTCCTTCTGCTCTGGCATCCCATGAATCCGACCCCGGTGTCATTCAGTTTTCTGGCATCCCATGAATCCGACCCCGGTGCACACGAAATTTCCAAATTGGATGAAATTTCAAGTCGGATGACTAAACTCTAGGACGAGGCCTTAAGTTAAGCAGGACAGCGGGACCAAACAAAACCGGGCACAGCCGCACGGCTGAAGACGAAAGGCACTATGGAGGAGTGCACAACAGCAGCAGAAGCGGCGGCAGCTGGTGGTGCCTTCCTGGAGGCGGTGGCCGCTGGCGACGTGCTGCGTGTGCGGCAGCTCTTGCACGAGAACCCGCCACACCACCACACCATCAACGCTGTCGACCATCTTGGCTGGTGCCCC